GAGAGTCCCCCTCCCTACAGGAAGCCACGACCACGTGTCACGGCAGGGAAGAAGGCCATGGATCCTGTTCGTTACCCGAACCGGCGTTCGCGAACGGAAGCAAAATTTTGCAAACGGTGCTGTTCGTGACCCGAATTGGTCGTGAACAGAAGCGTTCGTGACCTGAGGTACCACTGTAACCTAACAATCCACGCCTTGCCTGGCCCCCCCAAAGTATTTTTATTGTGTCCCTAAACCCTGCAACAGGTGAAGCATATCACCCCAAATATCACATTTTAGAGCCTATAGAATCACGGTGAATGAAATGACATTCCTCCTCTCTCCCTCTCAGAGGATGTGGTGCAATATAACACTGTTTTCTGATGAGAAAGGATGGTACAGCTTGCAATGAGTGCAAAATTCTTGCAACATACAATTCACTAAGATCAGACAGAAACTTGAGTTGAATTCACAGGTATCGCTTCAAAACTCAAGACCAGAGCCTGAAAAAGGAAGGGCAGGGACAGTTACAAGGACAGTTAGCTGAAATTTCAAATATTCCCTCAGAAGGAATAAAGGATAAGAGAAGACGGAATTGAAACGCAATGCCCAGCTGCAATAAACAAACTCTTCCTTTCATACCTACCTGCAGGTAGCATCAGCATGACCCAGAGCAAATTCCTTTGCAGGTGGTCTTCAAGAGATCCAGGCAGAGCACAGCTGCTCCAGTAGCAACTTCCTTAGCAGGAGGATTTACTGCCCTACCTTGGCCCTGGGTCTGCAGCTCCAGCAATGCCTGCTGCACCAGAGCCAAGGATTTCTTGTCTTCAGACCTGTATGTGCACACATGTACACATGCACACACCTTCAAGTCAGTGCTTAGTTCTGGCAACTTCCTGGACAAGTCTCTGCAGTTTTCTTGGCAAGATTTCAGAAGTGGTTTGCCATTGCCTGTTTCCTAGGACAGAGAGAGACTGACTGGCCCAAGGCCACCAGCTGGCTTTGTGCCTAAGGCAGGACTAGAACTTACAGTCTCCCAATTTCCACCCTGGTACCTTAACCACTACACCGAACTGGCTCTCTATAGACCCCATACTGTCCCCAATTTTGAGGTTCTCTGTATCATAAACCAAGAGTCCTCCCACAAGCCCATGGCATTGCTCCTGAAGCCAGCACCAGATCAGACCCTAACCTTGTTTTTGGCTCACTTCTTGAGCCATTCTTCTCTTGCCACCTGCTCTTCTCCATGGCACAGGAGGACTGATACCCAGATATCCACCTTAGTGTACATTAAGGCTACTCGGGGGGAATTCCCTTGTGGACAATTATTTGGTCTCTTTTCTATTCTGCCTAGTCTGGGAGTTCTCTGGGAGCCCATATCCCCAGACATTTTTAGCCAACTGTCTTAATTCTGGCGTGGTCTGTCTCATCCTCCTCAGGGCCTCCCAATTCCACAAATTTCACAAAATGCACAACTGAAAGTAAAGCTTGCTGTTTAGAACGTGAAACGGGCTATTTCGAGCATTTGGGAGGTAACCTGAGCTCTGCTGAGTTTCCAGAATGCTCAAAATGATTCAAAATAAAATTTTTACACACCCCTAGTTTTTGTTGTCCCACTGCAGTTAAGCAGTTCTTTAAAAAGTACAGTCCCTTCACTGGGCTACATGTTTTTGCCCAGAAAAGAATTTGGTGTTAAGCTAGAACTGGGAGGCTCATAGCACCTTACTGGATGTGGGTCCAATCACACCTCTCTACTCAGCACATCTCCCAGGACTGTTACTGTGGGGAAAAACTGGAAGAGAAAATGCAGATCAATTGACAAATAATACTAAGAAATGTTGAGGAGGGGAAGAGCAAGTCAGAGAAAGGAGACTTCATGGGTGCTTCAATGTCCATGGAATAGCTTGATATTCAGAGAAAGAACCATAGCCTAGGAACATTAATAGGTGCCTGATTTAATCCTTGTCATCTTGGATTAATAGGCTATCAAACAGCTGGACTGAAAAAGATTTCTGCTGGGACCTTCAAACACCCTACTGTATAAGACAGGCTAATAGCTTATCCAATACTGAAATAATGAAGCACAAGACTTGCATGTTAAAAAGAACAAATACATGATTCAAGACAGACCCGGAACATTTTATTCTCTGTCAACTATCACTTCCTATCATGCACCAACAATTGTTCTTCCTTACATATTTGTTTTAAAACAATGCCTAATTGTTTCTTATACAGGCAACAAATTATGAAGCACCCTGATTATGTAAACAAATCAAAATATTTCAGCAGAATTAAATTTGGGTCCTTAAAAATACCTGGAAATTTAGCATGACTCCTGATTGGCTGACATCACATTTTAAGCCAGGAGTGCAAAGGGTGGCACACAGAAGCAAGGATCTGTTGACTCGTTTTTGGGCATAATTAAAAGAAACAGCAATCCAATGCGTGATAGAAAGTGCCTCGCCCTGTCAAAATTGTCACCTTGTGCCATGCAGGATTTACATTATTTTCTGGCACAAGAGAGACCCGTTGCATCCAAAGAATACTCAAGGGAGCCCTGCAGGACTGTGGATCAGATCTCCCTTCAGTCCTTTGGCTTGAAGAGAGAAGGAAGAGCACTCAGCTTTTACCAACGATGGTAAACAGTATAACTTCGCTTCACCAATTCAACATCATGCATTTTTTCACAGTGACCAAGTCACTAAGGTTTCTGCCCTTCAGCTATGGCTGTCCCACTAGCATCCCTCTCTGACCGTGATGAAGTCCGGGGGCAGGGGGGAATCCACCCAGTGGTCTTCCCTTAGCTGTTCATCAGCCCCTTCAGGAGATCCTCTGAGAGCTCTACCAGAGGGAACTCCGGGGAGGGAATGTCCAATGGAGGGAGGTTGGGGATGGGAATGTCCTTGGCCTTCCCAGCATTGGTGGCCAATTTCTGCCAGGGGGAGGCTGTAGTAGCAGCAGCGGCGGCAGTGGCGGCAGCAGGTTCCGAGAGCTGCTGCAGACCCCATAGCTCTGACTTCTCCACAAAGTCGGCATCTACGTCCAGCTCCTTTTCTAGGGGAGACTTTAACAGCCTGGCTCTCTCAGCCTTCAGCTGCTTGTTCTCCCGCCTCAATCTCTCATTTTCAGCTAACAGCATCTCCACATGCCGTTCTAAGACTGCAATTTTGGTGGCCTGCTCTTCCATTTTCATCTTGTCATCCTTTGGAGGTCTGCTCTTCATGCACACTTCCAAGGGCTCCTTCCTTTTCTGAAGCAGAAAGAGTAACGTATCTGGATCCCTGTCCAAGACGCCACGGAACCCCTTCACCTCCTTCTCCAAGGAGGGGCTGTATTTCAGGCTGGCAGGAGTTACTACATGCTGGTTATCAGGTTCCTCAGCTGATGACCTAGAAGAGGCCTGCAGGTGGGTCACACCCTCTTTGTCCACCAGATGGTGTATTTTTAATCTTTCTTCCCTTCTTGCTCTTTTCCATCGCTCTTGGATAAGGAGTATCTGTTTCAGGTGACTGTCCCTTTGCAATTCTAGGGATAACTGGGCCTGCCAAGGAAGAAACAAAGAACGCACCTCAGTCTCAAAAGTCTCCTTTATCAGCTTCTCAGGGAATGAGTTTCAGCATTCAAATAATCAAAAGTTGTATAGCGCCAGCCAGTTGGAGCAATATAACTCCAGCTTTAGAAGCTTGGGGATAAAAACCTCAATATATCTGCTATGTTGTCTAATTATAAAAACAAAGTAGTTGCTTTGAATCAGAAAAGATATTTTTTTCACAATGAATGAATATTTGCAAAACATAGCTGAGTTAGACACAGGCTTTTTATATACATGAACAATTTACTAAATCAATCATAAATCTGGCTTCTACCCTCTTTGCTTTTACTTAAAGTTCATTTTTATGTAAAGCAAGCAATGGCAACAACGTAAAGTCGGGCCTCCTCCCCCAACCCCGGCCTTTGCCTCCAGACAACAACCGGAGATGGCTGATCTTCCTCCCTGGAGACACTGGCACCAACCCAGACGGTGAGTTTGCTCCTCTCACAGGAATATGAATAAAGAGCCCCACTGTCTGATGTTGCTAACAAATGATTTCACAATTTTTTTCTTACATTAACTGACAGCTGCTCCCTCCCTGCACAAGGCTGCATATGATGTTGTGGAACATTTGTGCTCAAATAGAAAAGTAACTGACCCAACTCAGCAATGTACCAAATTGCTAGTAGTTTGCTTGTCACGTTATACCCCTAGTTGCAGTCATTCTTCACTCCTCCCAAGGCATCCACATCTTGTGCAAAAAAACAAGGCAGAGCGAGCAATGGTGTCCTGAAGCGTTGCTGCTTCTATAATGGGCGCGTTGGTAAGTTCGTGCTGTCTTTTAATAGTACTCTTGATACAGCCACAAATATGCAAGGCACACAAACCCTGATCCCGCTAATATTTGTCCTCTTCCAAGTGCGAAGTTCACTAAAATTAGTATTTCACTATCCCTATAGGGACAGGACACCCTGTCTTCCCCTCATGCGTGTCATTTCTTTCTCAACCCCTCCTTACTATGTCTTGTTTTTTTCCCAAGCGTAAGCTCTAGCGAAGGTTCCTGGCTGGTATTATAGTCGCACAGGTGATGATTCATTCCTAGAGCTACCATTCAAGAGGGTAACCTCACCTGATCTGATTGAGTCAACTTCATCGCTTCCAAAAGGCATGCTGTATGAGACACAAAATGGTAACAGTTTAGAAAAGCCTCCTTGCGTAGCTGCCGTTCCCTGTCTAAAATGATCTGGAGAATGGGCGCCCTCAGGGAGGGGTTCTGAAGCTCCTTGGTACATACAGAATGCCAAGGAAGGATAAAGGGTGTCCTTTTCATTCAAAAGAAGAGGAATCCCCTCATGGCAACTTTTGGTAAGTGAATGGAAAATCACTTTTATTTTAAAACAAGAATCTTAAAGCTATCCTTGAAATACAATTTGGCAGTCAAGCTACTTTCTGCAATCCCTTTAAAAAGCATTGTGAGAAGGCCTTCACTCTCTAAACTGTGAACTTTAGGACAACTGACTTAATTGTTGATTCACTGTAAGAACTGTGATTGTGTGCCAACGACACACTTTTTCTCTTTGTTGTGAACCTTACCCCTGCCCCAGTCAGGATCTCGCCCACTTACCACACCTTTTGCACTAACTGAGCCTCTTTGCTAACAATGAATTCTTACGGATGCCTGGGGGATCAACCAAACACCCACAATGGCTCACCTGCTGCCTTTCGATGACACGAAATGGCTTCTTCGTACTTCCCCAGTGCCAGCAAATGGTCAGCTTTTCTGCTCTGCTGATGAGCCTAAAAAAACCCAAATCTTTAAAACTCCAAAAAGGCATGCTACTGCTTGAATGCCTTTAATGAAACAGATTGGCAGATTAACTGACCCTGCTGTGACGACACATACATTACTTGCTTTCTACCAAAGAAAGTAAACGTGTTTCCTGTCTGGATGCTCACTGCCTTGAGGAGGGCAGGCAGAAAGCTAAGGGAACTAGAGAGATGGCTCACAAGAAAGGAGAGGCAGAGTTAAACAAGGAAAGCAAAAGGAGACACACACACACACCCAGAGCCCTTGTGAAACAGGAAACATCTAATCTGTAAATAAGGGCTGTGCTTCTAAAATGAAACAACTCACATCCCATGTTATCTGTTCATGCAAAATTATTGTTCCAGAATGTTTTGTTTATAAACAACCAGTTCTCCAGGTTTCTAAGGGAAAAACACAGTAACCCCCCCTCCAGCACCTACGATCTCATTTATTTATCCCCAAAATAGACTCAGGAGAAATTATGCTACTTCTGACCAAGTAAACCTTGCCTAGTGATTTCTTCTTCCAATTAACTCCAAGCTGCTAAGCACTTTTACTTTAAACAGTCTGTGCAGCCTTGCATTTTTCTCCTCCCAGAACCTAAAATTTTAAGAGCTGTACCACTTAGGGCATTTTCACATTAAAATTAATATACTAAACAACAGCATGCACATGTTCACCAACTTTGGATCGGAGCTGTTTTCAAAAACAATGACCCCCAAAGAAAAATTATTTTCCCCCAACCCCCATCCTGGTTTCTCTGCTAAAAGCAACTGCTGCTTTAAGAACTGGTTCTTTACATCTGACATAAATATAAACTTCAAGCTTTGCCTGCTACTGTAACTTAATTTTAGAAAGAACTTTCTAAGCAAAAATTAGTCATGTCAATGTTTGAACACTTTCCTGGCTAACAGCCATCAAGCACTGTTCCAGAAGTGATCAAACCATCCTGCATTCATAAAGTTGCAGCCTATTTAATCAGAACACTAAATGACAGCATTACATCTATTCTTATTTGTGAAGACTTAAGTATAGATGATTGATCACTAACATACTTGAATTACAACCCTCTCTGACCCTATCATATAACCACACCCTGCTCTTCTTCTATTGGATGAAACACTGTTGAACAACCAGAGACATCTGTCTGTGGGCCAAGATTGGGACTCTGCAAGCTTCACCTTTGCTAGTGTCACAGCTACTAAATATAATTTTGATTTTAAAAAAGATTTTCCTAACAGCATATAACTATAACATTTATAGCCCACCCCAATCTAGGCAGATTCTGGGCAGGCTGCAAAGCCATAAATAATAAAACCACCACAGTACAACTCATTAAAATCCCCCATATACAACCTGAACCGCCACAGGGGCCCAATAAAATAAATGAATCCAGGGGCCAAATGCCCACAATGCTGCTCTGACTAGTTTACAAAATGCCAAAGGGGTTGGGATTCTCTGTCCCTATGGGGGAGAGCATTCCAGAGAACGGGGGCTGCCCCTGAGAAGCCCTCCTGAGAAGGGGGGGATGGACCCACAACATGCCTTCTCTTGGTTCACTTCTACCTTGGCCAGATGTTGCCCAGCGCATCCTGGCGCTGTGCCACTGGGGGCTTTAAAAGTGATAACCACCCCTTGGATTGAACCCAGAAACCATATGGGAAATGAGGCAGCAATATCAAGACAGATGTTATGGTGGGAGTCTGGGTGCCGCATTTTTCCTCGCTGGGCTTCCGGGTCATCTCCAAAGGCAGCCCCACACAAACCACATTGCAATACTCCAACCAGATGGTGGGTGATCAAGGCCTGCATTACTGTTGTTGGAGCATCTTGATCAAAGTTGTGAAAAACTTGTGCATCCTCAGAGACACAGAGAAGGAGACCACTTCTGCCCTGCCCTGCCCAGACACACCTGTCTGCCATGCAAATCAGCCAGGAGGGCCATGGATCAAGACTTTAGGTGGCAGAATTTAGACTACAAGAACCCTGTCCGCTTCCACAAGGTCAAAAGAATCTAACACAAAGGGTGCCTCGCCAGTCCCCAACAGAGAGTGGATATGAATGACTTTGCTGGGATACCTGCCAATTCATCTGGCATGCCTGTAGCAGTCTGGTCCAAAACAGGGTTAGAATTATTCTGAAGAGGCCTGCCAGGCAGGAATCTGTGGATGCCACACCAACAGAGAAGCCACTGGGTAGGCTGGAGCATGAGCAACTATCTGGGCGTGGTCCTATCTACTCTGGGGTTTTTCCCCCTGTCATTCTAGGGGTCTTTTCAGTCGTGTCAGCCACTCAGGAGCTGCTCCAGTGGGGGATGGGGCTGCAGCAACCTCATCAGTACACTGATCGAAGAACCAGATGGAATTGCCTGCCAAGTTGTTGGGATGCTCCCCAAGCGCCTCTGGATCTGTTAGCCACCTAGGCAGACTACTGAAAGAACCACCTCTCTCACCTAAGCCGCAGCATGAAAAGCAACTAATCTGACCCCAGCAGACGTTAGGATCCTCTATTTTTTGATGATGTCTCATCAGCTTCAAAGTGAAGGTAGGCCAGGGTTGCCATCGCCCACGACAGGCCACAATCTCACGAGATGCTCTGGAACCCTCTCCCGGGACACAGACACTGAAATCACCCACGACTAAAAGCCTCAGGATCTTGGGCCCCAGCTCCCAGATGAGGTCTAGCAGCTCCTTTACTCTTGACTGCTGTATTCATTAGGAGCTGCATAGGGTTTCTGCCGCTCACTTGTCCTTCTGTTTATTGAACGGCTGGGGAAATCCTTGGCCACAAACACAAGATTCAGAACTGACTACTCTCCAGAAGTGCAAAGTACCCGGATCCTCCTTTCCGTTGGCATCTTAGCGGAAGCACCTACTGGATGTTTCCACACCCAATGAGGGCCAGAATCTGTCAAAAGTGCATTTTGGGCTCCAGATTGCAGGAGTTGAATCGCTGACGCTCACGAGGCGGTGGCCGTCAGGCATTTTGCCATAATTCAGGGAGCCCCCTTCAAAATAACGAGCTCCAGCACGGGCACTGTTTGCGGGGCACTGTTTGCGGGGCAGAGGCTGCTTGTACGGGCAAGCGAGGAACAAAGCACGGCCTGCGAGTCAGACTTCCGGTCCACAGATTACAACCGCCGACCGGAGGGCTGTCCAGCAATGGGCGGTCGGGCATTTCCTTCGGAAATTACAAGAGGAGCACGCACAGCCCCTGAGAAGCTGTGGCCTATGGGTCCCTACCTCCTTCCGGCCCTCGTCCTGGGTCTTCGCGCGGCCCTGAGTGCTTTAGCCCAG